TCTATACACACCTCGATAGCATCCTCAGAGGTGTCCCTAGAGAGGACAAGCTGGTACCTCTCAGGGATTTCAATGCCAGAGTAGGTACTGACCTACTTGTGGAATACCTGTAGAATGGTGTCCTTGGGAGGGAAGGTGTAGGAAAAATGAACTCCAATGGTCACCTCCTTCTTACACTCTGTGCTGACCATGGTCTAGTTATAATGAACACTCTGTTCCAGCAGAAGAACTGTTTCAAGTCCTCCTGGCAACACCCACGATCAGGACACTGGCACCTGCTTGATTATGTCATTGTCCAGTCTCAGGACCATGCTGATGTCCACGTTACTCGACCCTGAAACAAGGCTTATCTTCCAACATTGCCTTAGCAACAAGTTACGTAGCCAAAATCCACCATAGGATTGTCTCCATGCATAGTCATTTCTGAAAACTGCTGTCCTGGAAACTTATGGTGAAACCCTTGGATACACCAAGCTAAGGAACCAGGATTGGTTTAAAATTAATGATAAGGAGATCCAGACCTAACTGATGTTAAATGCAGAGCGCTCAAAGCCTGAAATAGCAACTCTCCTCATCTCAGCAGAAGAAACACGATTATAAGCTTGCAAAGGCTGAAGTACAACAAAGAATTAAGAGTCCTTAAAAACAACTGGTGGAGAGACAAAGCAAAGGAAATACAGTCCTATACCAATTCTAACCATAGTCATGAGTTCTTCGATGCTGTTAGGGCAATGTATGGACCATCAAAACTGGGATCAGCAGATGGGACATTGCTTATTGAGACCAAAAACGGCATCAACAGCCTGTGGCTGGAACACTTCAGCCACCTGTTCAACCGTGATGCAACTGCTGACGACAGCATTTTCAACATGCTCACCAGCCTATCTGTCCATGTCAATCTGGATCATGAACACTCCATCTGTGAGATCCAAGCGGTCACCCAAAAAAAAAAAAAAAAAAAAAAAAAAAAAAAAAAACACAAAACACAGCAAGGCCACAGGCACTGATGGAATCCCTGCTTAAATAATCAAGCAGGGAGGACCATCTCTGCTGTTGTGCCTATACTGCCTCATTCTGATCATCTGGAGAGAGGAAACCATACCCAGTGAGCTCAGATACGCCATCATAGTGACCATCTTTAAGAAGAGTGACAAGATGGGCCGTGGAAACTACCGAGAGATCTCCTTGCTCTCAACCACAGATAAAAATCTCACCAAAGTCCTTCTGAACCATCTCCTTCCACTGGCTGAAGAAGTCCTTCCAGAGTCACAATGTGGCTTCCAACCATGACAAGGAACAACTGATAAGATATTTTCTGCCTGCCTAATACAAGAGAAGTGTTGGGAGCAACATCACCCTCTGTATATGGCATTCTTCGATTTGACAAAAGCATTTGACTCCATCAACCGCGAGGCCCTCTGGAAGATCCTGTGACACTTTGGCTGTCAATCAAAATGTGTATTATACATCTCTTACACAACTACATGCAGACTGTGATACACAATAATGGCAATGCAACTGAACCAATTGACATAAGGACTGGCGTCAAACAAGGGTGTGTGATACCAAAAAGATATTAAATGATGTAGGTGCTATGCTCCAGATTATTGGAGATGACCTCCCAGATGGAGTCAAAATAACCTCCAGGACAAATGGTAGCCTCTTCAATCTGGTCCGCTTCAGAGCCAAGACCAAGACCACAACATCATCAGTGGTAGAACTTCAGTACACTGACGATGCCCACGTCAGTGCCACCTCAAAAGATAGGCTCTAAGCAATTGTCATTTTCACCCTGGGCTACCGCAGGTTGGGACTGACTCTCAATCCATGAAAGACCAAGTGGTAGAGATGTAGCCGTGTTAGTCTGGGGTAGCTGAAGCAAAATGCAGGACAATGTAGCACTTTAAAGACTAACAAGATGGTTTATTAGGTGATGAGCTTTCGTGGGCCAGACCCACTTCCTCAGATCAAATAATGGAAGAAAACAGTCACAACCATATATACGAAAGGATACAATTAAAAAAAATGAACACACATGAAAAGGACAAATCACATTACAGAACAGAAGGGGGATATGGGGGGGGGGGGGGGAAGGAAGGTGAATGCCAGTGAGTTAATGATATTAGAGGGGGGGAAGGGGAAATGTCTGTGAGTTAATATATTAGAGGTGATAATTGGGGAAGCTATCTTTGTAATGTGTAAGATAGTTGGGGTCTTTATTAAGTCCGGTGCGGAGGGTGTCGAATTTTAGCATGAATGCCAGTTCAGAGGATTCCCTTTCAAGTGCAGATTTGAATGTCTTCTGAAGTAGGATGCAGGTTAGCAGGTCATGAAAGACCAAGGTTTTCTTTCAGCCAACACTCACCATATCGTTATCCAAACCAACCATCACAGCAGACGACCAAGTGCTGGAGAACATCAACAGTTTCTCTCATCTCAGAAGTGATCTGTCTAGCAATGCTGACATCGACAATGAAATCTACCATCGAATCTCCAGTGCCAGTGCAGCTTATGGACATTTACGGAGGCGAGTCTTCGATGACTGTGACATCAAGATGTAGACCAAGATTGATGTCTACAGTGCTGTAGTCATCCCAATGGTGCTGTATGGAGCTGAATCCTGGACTCTCTATAGATGACATATTAAAGATCTGGAGAAATTCCACCAAAGGTGCCTGAGGAGAATTTGGGCATCAAGTGGCAGGACAGACAGACCAACGTTAATATCCTCGCAGAGGCTGATTCTTGCAGCAATAATCGTAATAATCACCCACAGGCAGCTACGATGGTCTGGTCACGTGGTCAGGATGCCTGACACACACTTGCCTAAACATATTTTCTATGCTCAGCTGAGGACTGGGATGAGGTCTCATGGTGGGCAGAAGCAGCACTAGAGGGATGTTCTTAAGAACACCTTAATAAATTGCGGCATTGACGCTGACACCTGGGAGAGGCCGATGAAGGATTGGGTAACCTGGAGGACCATCATCAAGAATGGTTCCCAACACTCTGAGATCAAACGACGTCTCCATGAAGAAGATTGTGTAAGGCAGTGGTCCCCAACCTTTTGGGGCTGCCAGGCACCCGGGGGCGGGGCCACTCACACGCCGGGCACCCAGGAGTGGGGCCGCACACGCGCCCTGGGGTAGGGCTGCGTCCGGGGGCGGGACCACCCATACGCCATGCGCCCGGGGCCAGCACTGCTCCTGTGCCGTGCGCCATGGGGCAGGACCACCCATACGCCGCGTGCCCAGTGCTGGCGCCACCCATGCACCGCTCTCCCGGGGCTGGTGCTGCTCCTGTGCCACATGCACAGGGGTAGAGCTGCCCATACGCCATGCGCCCGGGGCCAGCACTGCTCCTGTGCCGTGCGCCATGGGGCGGGGCCACCCATACGCCACGCGCCCAGGGCCGGCATAGCCCTTGTGCTGTGCACCCGGGGGCGGGGCTGCCCATGCGCCATGCACCATGCACCCGAGGGCGGGGTCAGCCCCCAATCACTTGGTGTGCGCACAGAAATGACCTGGTGGGCACCATGGTGCCCGCGGGCACCGTGTTGGGGACCACTGGTGTAAGGAGTGTGCCCGGGCCCATATTGGTGCCGCTGGAGATAGAGACCTCACGTGCAGCCACTGCCAGAAAGTGTTCCTTGCCAGAACTGGCCTCATTTCTCATCTATGTACTCATCAGTTATAGGCATCCAAAGGGAAATCTTAATTGATCTGAGGAATTCCCAGAGATGCAACAAACAGGTGCACTGGCAACACCGGGAACAGCCCCAAGATCAGAAAACCTGCTTGCCCACCCCAGGCTTCCTTGGAGTTATGAGAAAGAATACTGGTGCTCTTAGTCTCCTTGCTCATAGTGCACTGTATGAGCAACAAACAAGAATGAAACAATGCCAGACAGCCTGAAATAAGCTACAGATACTTATTTGAGCCACAGAATCACAGCCCTGTCAGGCCCACAGTACACTAGCTCATCACCATTCTATAAGGATCTGTTTCATCACCTTTTGGGGGCTCAGACAACAATGTTTTTTGTTTGCCCTGACTGATCTCTAGCTGCTTCTATCACCCTAACCAATGTCGGGTTCTTTCCTTCAGCCCCCACATCCCAGATACATTCCATGAGCCCAGCCTCTACAGCTAGTCCTCATCTTCCAAATAATCAAGAGGACCAAGCAAGTTTTGAGTTAGCTTCTGGTTTCTGAACCAACAAAATGAATCATTCTCCCTTGCATGCAGTTCAAGTAGCATCTCCTTTACGCAACCCCGAAGCAGCTTTCATAAACAAACTCCCCATCCCCACTCCACGCTTAGGGGAAAGGGTGGAATCATCAATCTTATGGTGACTCAACAAACATTCTGCCTTTTCAGCAATGAAAATAAGTAATGCACAGGTTCCACAGTGCTATGGTTGTAACTACAGCATAGAGTTCCTGAGGTATGGTACCAGTTTTGTCACAGCTCCCTATATTATTGTGGGTAAGTCACATCATTTCTCTGTGCCTCAGACTACCCAAAAGATGCCTAAGAGAAACAATCTACTAACATTAGTAAAGCACATTTAGCTCCTGTGGTGGGTGGCATTAAAGAACATAAGAACGGCCATACTGGGTCAGACCAACGGTCCATCTAGCCCAGTATCCTGTCTGCCCACAGTGGCCAATACAGATACCCCAGGAGAAGGGAACACAGCAGGTAATCCTCACATGATCCCTCCCATCACCCGTTTCCAGACAAACAGAGGCCAGGGACACCGTTCGAAACAGCCATTGATGGACCTAACCTCCAAGAATCTATCTAGCTCTTTTTTGAACCCTGTTAAAGTCTCTGAAGAGGGTGAAGCATTATTTACACAATTTAATCTCATCATGGTGCAGACTCTACCATCTACATGGGCAAAGCCAGCAATGGACAGCAGTACCCACTTACTGCCAGATCACGTGGCACTCCTTGTAGCTTCACTTAGTGACCACTACCACAGAGCATACTAACTTGGTTATAAGACATCTGTCTGTGAGAACGGTCTCAGAGGAGGAAGTCCACAGCACCTGGCTTCCAGAGAGATTTCTCCCACATAACATGCAGCAGCAAGAAGGAATTGCTCCACTTAACCTAATGCAGGATACAACAGAGAGGACTTGCCAACAATTGCCAAAGCAGAAAACAAAACGAAAGAGCCAATCTATGCCTGTGGGTCTTTATGCTGCTCCCTAGTGAAGGGGATCCCTTTACCACCGCATCAGCTGTCCAAAGACCCAGCACCTCTCATTCTCAGCCTATACTCTTTCAAGTCAACTTGCCCCCCAACATCCAGGATGATGCTGCACCAAGTCAAACCAACCCAGGGAAACAATGTGCTCGCCCTCCAGTCACTCTGAACATGCCAAGTGCCAGCTAGCTGATCCCACAGGTCACATGAGCAGGAGGAGGACAAAGGCTACAGATGGGGAGAGGTCTCCTGGCACAGCCTGAGAAAATCAGACACAAACAGTGAAGCAGAGCAAAGTCACCTAATGTCAGCACCCCATCCAGCTCAGCCATTCCCCCACAATGGCAGCACTAGGGCGGCAGAAGGTGCCAGCCTCAGGCCTCCTTCCCCATCGCACTGACCCTCTGAGCCTAGAGCAGCACTAGGGGTCACCAACCCAGTCTTGCCCTGCTTCCCCGGGGCAGACAGACACTTATGTCTGAAAGGGGCAGGAAACTGCTAGCTTGGAGGCGTGGTGGGCACAGAAGGCTGCCAGCTGGGGAAAACAGGGGACAGCCAGACACAGGGGGCTGCCAGTGAGGAGGGAAGAGGGACATAGGGGGCTGCCAATGGAGGAGAAGGGACGTGGGGACAGTGGTGGGGGGCTGCCGGGAGGGGGAGGAGAAGGGACAGGGAGACAAAGGGGGCTGCCAGCGGGGGAGAAGGACGACACAGGGAGCTAGCTGTAAGGTGGGGTCGGAGGCAGGGGGCTGCCAATGGGGGTGGGGAGAAAGGGGGACATGGGAGCTGCAAGGTGGGGGCATAGACAGGGGGATGCCAATGGGGGGGACAAAGGAGGGCACAGGGGGCTGTAAGGTGGGGTCAGAGCTGCCAGCAGGAGGCAGAGGGAGACACAGGGGTCTGCCAGCAGGGGAAAGGGGGGGCTGCGAGGGGGAGAAAGTGAGGGGCTGCCAGTGGGGGGGGGAGGAAAAAGGGGGGGACACAGAAGGCTGTGAGGTGGGGGCAGAGGCAGGGGGCTGCCAGCAGGGCGGGAGATAGGGAAACACAGGGGGTTGCGAGGCAGTGTCGGAGGTGGGGGGCTGCCAATGGGGGTGGGGAGAAAGGGGGACATGGGAGCTGCAAGGTGGGGGCATAGACAGGGGGATGCCAATGGGGGGGACAAAGGAGGGCACAGGGGGCTGTAAGGTGGGGTCAGAGCTGCCAGCAGGAGGCAGAGGGAGACACAGGGGTCTGCCAGCAGGGGAAAGGGGGGGCTGCGAGGGGGAGAAAGTGAGGGGCTGCCAGTGGGGGGGGGAGGAAAAAGGGGGGGACACAGAAGGCTGTGAGGTGGGGGCAGAGGCAGGGGGCTGCCAGCAGGGCGGGAGATAGGGAAACACAGGGGGTTGCGAGGCAGTGTCGGAGGTGGGGGGCTGCCAATGGGGGAGAGGGGGAAGGGGGGCTTGAGGTGAGAGGCTACGAGTGGGGGGGGGAGGCAAAAGGTGAAAAACACAGGGGGCTGCGAGGCAGGGGAGGACACAGGGAGATGCAAGGCAGGGCAGAGGACTGCCAATTGGGGGTAAAGGGGGGGACACAGGTGGACTGAGGCAGGGGCGGAGCGCTGACGTGGGGGGGGGGAGAACTGGGGGCCGTGAGGTGGGGCGCTGCCAGCGGGAGGGGCACAGGAGGAGCCAGTTGGGGGCAAGGGGAGGTATGGGGGGCTTGAGATGGGGCGCTGCCAGCGGAGGGGCATAGGGGGACTCAGCGGAGGGCAAGGGGGGGTAGAGGGGCTTGAGGCGGGGCGCTGCCAGCCGGGGGCTGTCCCGTCCAGCAAAGCATGGCGGGAAATGTAGGCCCGCCCTCGGGCACGCGCCGCGGGGGCCCCTGCCTGACTCACGATGGCTGTCACCGTAGCCATGGCAACAGGCTAGCCATGCATTCCCCATCCCCCGAGGGCTCTCGCGGCACGTGCTGCAGCGCCCCCTGCGGCCTCGTCCGCGCGCTGGCGCCTTTTGGTCCGACTGTAACAAGGACGCAACCCTGGGGCTGCTCCAGAGCAACGCCCGCCGCGTGCGCTGAGCGTGCAGACGCGCGCTTCGCCCAGGGACGCTGTTGCTCCTCCGGGTGCTGGTGTCAGGCTGGAGGGGGCCGGGACTTCGCCTCTTTCTGGTTAAAGATCTGCACCGGCAGCAGCCCTGCGGAGACACGAGCTCTCCCACCAGGCATCATCTTCCCTTCTCCCCTCCCACAGCGCTGCCCCGACTGAGGGCACCCTTACCTGACTTGGAGTGCCCGCTGCAGGGGAAGGGTCCCTACTCCCCCTTATCTGAGTTCTCATCAATTGCCAAAGCCTCCCTGTGGTGAGCAGAGCCCTAGGGACAGAAAGAGAACCCAACCGGCACCTATTAGAGTCTTTTGGAACATTTTATTGACCCACACTTCCATCTCCCTCCCCCAACTCCCTCTGAACAGATCTCCCAGGGACAGACCAGCCACCTGAACGGAACCTTCAGGATAATCTCACGTCCTCCATAAGTTCAGGAGATCCTTGCAGCTGGGCTTATATGTAGTGGGATGACTGAGCTCTTTCCACTCTCCAAACACTGCCAATTCTGAGGCAGCAAACACTCTGGACTCTCTGGAGTCATAGCCACATCCAGCAGCAGTATGGACAAGCATGTGTGTTTCCTAGGAGGGGCAGCAAGTTGCAGTCAATCTGGGGCAGCCATGGGGAGGAGCAGCCAGCTGACAGGCCAACAAACTGAAAACATGACAAGACAGAAATTAATACAAAACAAACCTGATATGAGAAGCACAAGCCTGAAATCACACACACACACACACACACACACACACACACACACACACACTTCACTCCTTCCCTAGGACAATGGCCAATAATACCTTCCTGCATCAGTGTCCAGAGGAAGGCACAAAACTTCCAGACTGTATGGCACACACAATACCCCTCCTGCCAAGCTAGTGAGATAATGCTAAATACTCTTGTGCTCCCAATGAACCAATACATACCATCCTCTACTGCTGCCCTAAGTCCCTCTCACCAGCAAAAAATAGGAGAAAGCAAGCCCACATACCTGTGTGCCCAGGGATTCTCTTGGCAGGTTTTCAAGAGACTTCAGAAGACTAGCCTGGTACTCCGAGAAGTCACTCACAGAATTTGCCTCCATCATTCCTGAGAGTCTCACCAGCCCCTGCCTTGCAGACAAACTGCAATTTAATTCACATGGACCCAGTCAGTGGAAAGGAGCAGGAAAGATAATTGGGTGCATTGGACATCACATGAACCAGCACTGTCATTCCACACCATGCTTCAAACCTAGGAGAGATCATCAGGCCCTGCATGCCCAGACTGGGAAGGGCAGGCAGGACTCCTCTCCAGTGAGCACTGGAAGAAGAGACAGGAGACACTGGACTTAGTCCTTGCTCTCTCCTCCAAGTCAGCAATTGGTGTCCCAGTCCCCTGATCTTTTCTCCCCAATGCCTACCATGCAGCTGGGGGAGATGGCAAAGCAGATACCCATACATCACAGGAAGCATTTTCAGAGCACTGGGGAAGTGATACTATGCTCACCACTGGGACATTTTGAGTATCAATCCCCCTTTTGTATGGCATAAGGCTCCTGACACCTAACTCTTAAGTGTCATACAGTACAAGACTTCACAGAACCCCCCAGGCATGGCTACATACCATTCACTCTACTTCTGCCTAAGGCAGCTCAGTGTAATGGTCACTGTATCCACAGGGATACTAGGAAGCTCCTGGAAGGACAATACATTTGTTTGGGTGGATCCACCACATTGTTAAGCTTCTGCCTCTTCCTCCCCCAGAAGAGGTTCTCCCCCGCAAGACTCTAGAGCCATGGGCAACTGGGAGACACTTTCCTTGGAAATCCTTCTCTGCATGGGAGAGGGTGCTGGGTGGGTGGGTCCCAGGCATGCAAGGCCCGTCTCCACAGCTTGACTTGCATGTCCCAGGAGCGGCGGCTGTACTTCTTGTACTTATTTGGAGTTCGGGGGTGAATCCCTGGCTGCCGAGCAGCCCTAGGAATGAAGCAAACATTAGCAGTGACAGGTGCTTCCATTAAACATTTCTCACCCCAGCAAAAAGACCACCCTAATCCAGCAGGAGCATGGCACAAATAGCCAGATGGCTCCATCACAAACAGCATGTAGGAAGCACACCTTAAAGGCTCCTGAATAGGCCACATTTCTGGGACTTTTGAAATGGGCAGGGAAAGGAAGTTGCCCCCAAGCAGGATTAAGAGGACGGACATCACTGTATATCAGTTTCAGATATCTCTTCCCTTGGTGGGGAAACCATGGCCACAGGCAGAATCATCAAGCTCATACAGGAAGGGGAGGTGAAAGCCAGGGACACCTCACTTAGGGACTACTTGTAGGAAGTTCTGGTAGCCAAGAGTGTTCTTCCCATAATCTATCTGCTTCTGTCTCCTCTGCAAGATGCTCTCATCTGTTTCAGTGTCACATCTGGTGAAGAGAATGAGTTAGCACTAGAGACACAGAAGGCAGCCTTGGACAAGCCACGTGGGCCAGTGTGTCCAACACACCTCAATCCTGAGCTGGCTCCTCTTGCAAGGCCTGGCCTTGTGCCAACTCCTACGCTGACCATATTAACTCCAGAGCAGGATTTTGACGACAAGGACCTGTCCCTAGGAAAAGAACATTTTTTGCACAATAAACTGGCTTGTTTCATAGCCAGGTGTGAGACACAGCATCCCACAGACTAGCCAACTGTCTGCTTGGTTCTGGGAAGCAGAACTAAAGCTGCATTGCCCAGTTATCATAAAGATCCAGATCACCTTTTGGGACAATTTATTCCTTTGGCACTCAGAAATGAAGCACTGAGATCTGTTAGGGAAACAGGTCTGAGAGGGACACAAGTCTGCTCTGGGATTCATGATCAAGGCAGGCACTCATCCTCAAATTACGTGTGTTGTGGCGGCACTTGCAGTCCCCCACTCGGAATCAGAGCCCCATTGTGCTGCATGTTATTTGGGGACAGAGACATTGCCCCCGAGTTTACAAGGGGGAAGGAAGGGGGAAGTCAGACAGGAATGTGTACCTACAAAAAACAAACGAGCAGATGTATGCCTCTAAGAGAGAGTCAAATATCCCCAACTGTCAAAGAAGCTAGATCTTCATTTACTGTCAGATTTCTGCAGCGTAGCAAATATCAGTGGCTAATCTATGCACTCTTCCTATCAGGCCAAGAACATCCAAACAAATCAAGGAGTCCAATCCCATCCCCAAACACCCTTTGCCATCAGCAAAGATCCTGTCAGCCTCACCTGTAAACCAGAAAATGGTGCCTTAGGAAAATGCTTGAATTAAACACCTTTTTCCCTTCTTATTTTCTGTTTATCTTTTAGACTAAGCTCTTTAACGTAGGGAACTGTGTACGTTATTCATGGTCAAGAAGTGTCAATGCTCAGTAAGTAAGAGGAGATCTCAACTCCCAGTAAAAATATGACAGCTAAGCAAGGTAATCAAACCACATCTATGGCCCCATCTCTTACATAGGTCTATATTAGCCCTTAGGACTTCTGAGTGTCTAAGAAGGCCACTGGGAAATTAAAGCCAAGAGTTTATCGCTCTGCAACAGCAGCAATCCTACTGAGATATTTTAGCCTGCTAAGATATACTTTTTCCTACCCTTTATTTATTTTTAATAATATGCTAGTAATACAAGGGGCCTACTGAGTTAAATTTTCTGTATGATTTAGCTTTAGCAGAAATATGGTAGTTGACAATAAGTTAAGATTTATTTCTTGTTATTTTCCCAAGATGTATGTTGTGTAAGGCTTTGTGGTTAGCTGGACAAGCATCTCGGGAACCATAACCCTAATCTTGATCAGAACAAGAAAGCAGAATCTGCCAACTCCCATCAACTGACTTTTCACCCTTCCACAAAAATAAAAGTGCCAGATTTCCTGCACCTAACCTCAATGTTCCTGCTCTTTCTGGTTGTTCCGGGATTTGGTCCAAGAAAACGTCACTCCTCTCTCATGAATATTTATGGGCCACCTCCATCTCTCTTCCAATCAGGTATAGGCACCCACAGAAGTCTTAGGGTACCAAGACCAATTTTGGGCAAGGAATTGAACATCCAGGACATTTTGGTGCCAAAAGGGTAATATAAGCCCAGGAATTAGGAAAGTCAAGGCTGCTGCAGCCGTCACTGACAGAGCCCACTCTGGTGTGTAACCTGTTTTCCCTTGAGGTCAGAAATCAAATACTTATCACTATTCTATCTTTATATTTCTCTTTCATCTTTTATTTTATTTCAGTCTTGCTTTTAGGTATCGCATACTCCACCTGCTCCAAAGCCTTTCAGGCAACGGGAGGCTGGTCCTTCCACATCCAGCCTTGGGGAAAATAGGATCTTGTGGGTATGAAATGCTGTTAGATAATCATAGGACTGGAAGAGACCTCAGGAGATCATCACGTCCAGCCCCTTGCCCAAAGCAGGACCAATCCCAACTAAATCAACCCAGCCAGGGCTTTGTCAAACCAAGACTTAAAAACCTCTAGGTTATGTCTAGACTACGCAAAAGTTCTGAAAGAGGAGATGCAAATTCCTGGGAATTTGTATATCTTCTTCCAATCTAAATGTTCAAAATAGGCTTGTCCAAAATAGTCAGGACATGGTTTTTTTCGGCAACCCCCCCTCTTTCGAAAAGCCACTCTTCCTCAAATAATGAGGTTTATGCGGCTTTTCAAAAAAAGGGCGGGGTTGCCGAAAAAACTGTGTCCCAATTACTTTCACTTTCAAAAGTTCTGATCTCACTTTCGAAAGCAGAAGATGATGTGCAAATTCCCACTGAATTTGCATATCCTCTTTCGGAACTTCAGCGGAATCTAGACGAGCCCCTACAGAAGGAGATTCCACCATATCCCTCGGTAACCCATTCCACTACTTCACCACCCTCCTACTGAAATAGTTTTCCCTAATATACAACCTAGACCTCACCTGCTGTAACTTGAGACCATTGTTCCTTGCTCTGCCATCCGTCACCACTGAGAACAGCCTCTCTCCATCCTCTTTGGAACCTCCCTTCAGGAAGTTGAAGGCTGCTATCAAATCCCCCCTCACTCTTCGCTTCTGCAGACTAAATAAGCCCAGATCCTTCAGCCTCTCCTCATATGTCAAGTGCTCCAGCACCCTCATCATTTTGATTGCTCTCCGCTGGACCCACATCCTTTCTATAGTGGGGGGCCCAGAACCTAACAATACTCCAGCTGTAGCTGCACCAGAGCCAAATAAAGGGGAATAATCACTTCTCTGGATCTGCTGGCAATGCTCCTCCTAATGCACCCTAATGTGCCATTAGCCTTCTTGGCTACAAGGGCACACTGTTGACTCATATCCAGCTTCTCATCCACTGTAATCCCCAGGTCCTTTTCTGCTGAACTGCTACTTAGCCAGTTGGTCCCCAGCCTGTAACAATGCTTGGGATTTTTCCATCCCAAGTGCAGGACTCTACACTTGTCCTTGTTGAACCTCATTAGATTTCTTTTGGCCCAATGCTCTAATCTATCAATGTCCCTCTCGACACTATCCCTGCCCTCCAACATATCTTCCTCTCCCCCTAGCTGTGTGTCATCCACAAACTTGCTGAAGGTGCAATCCATCCCCTCATCCAGGTCATGAATAAAGATGCTGAACAAAATCGGCCCTAGAACCAATCCTTGGGGCACTCCACTAGAAACCAAACATCGAGCTGTTGATCACTACCTGTTGGGCCCAACAGTCTAGCCAGCTTTCTATCCATCTTACAGTCCATTTATCCAATCCATACTTCCTTAACTTAATAGCAAGAATATTGTGGGAGACCATGTCAAAAGCTTTGCTAAAGTCAAGGTACATCATATCCAGGGCTCAACAATTAACGTAATCTACTCGCCTGTGGCAAGTAGATTACAAATCAGCACAGCCGCGCAGCACAGTCAGCGCATGGGCAGCGTGCTGAACAGCGCAGCTGGCGAACGGGGCTCACCGTGGCTTGGTGAGCCCTGATCATATCCACTGACTTTCCCATATCCACAGAGCCATTTACTTCGTCATAGAAGCTAATCATGTTAGTCAGGCATGACTTGCTCTTGGTGAATCAATAACGACTATTCCTGATCACTTTCTCCTCTTCCAAGTACTTCAAAATGGATTCCTTGAGGATCCCATCCATGGT